GAGTGTGATGTTTAACAGACTGACATGATTTCAAATTATTAATTAATTTTTATCAATAAGTTTATACAAAATAATATATTTTTCTGGCTGATTCTTTAAGGAATAAACATTGATGCAAAGAGGATATCAAAGGTACGTACTCTTTTTTAAAAAAAGAAAAGAAATCATGCAAGTGTTGGATCTTTGTCTGATGGCGCTCATTCATTCATTCATTCATTCATTTCTTTTGAAAATGACAAGCCAAAAAAAATTTCTGCATATAAAAACTCGAATTGTAAATCGCTATTCACAATTATCACAAATATATTTATATGGTGATACCGAAGACATCGTATTGAATTTATTTTTATTATTTTTAGTTTGCTTAAATAGGGTTGATTGTGTTATGTTCTAATGAGAAGTGAGTTAAGGGATAAGAATGTGAACGCGTTGAGATGCGATTCTATTCATCCATAATAATATTTTTTTTATCTTGATTGCCTACCATTCTCATTATAATTTTATTCAAGTAGGCGTAAATAGCTGTAATTGGCTATACGCTCATCGAAGGCAGTGTGTGAAACGTATTTTCGCGAAAATAAAATGAGTGAGCAATATCGAACAGGTTGATCATAGGATCCTCGTTGATTATATAAAGGCAACCAAAATTCCTTGCAGAGTATACAACAATCTCTTTCAAATGGCTCCCATTCCAAAAAACACTGGGGAAAACTCGCTATCGCTTTTCCCGCCGCCATCAGTGTTTCAAACTGTCTTTCCTCTAACCCTTCTGGGAACCACTATTTGCATATTCATTCGCCGAAGGTAATCATAATTATTAATTACCTTGTAGTGTGTCCATGACTTACTCATCGCACTAACATAAAGATCAATTCTCCAACGAAGAATATGTTTCGCATTATTCATCGTAAATTCGAGTGGTCTACTATCGAGTTTTTTCGGTGTTGTGTCAATTAAACCAATATTAAGCGATTTTTTTTTTTTTTTTTTCACCGCTATTGAGATAAATTAAGTCGTTTCGTTTTAACATACGGGATTATTCCTATGATTCTTTAAATTCGTAAAATTCGTTAAAATACTGTATATCGATCAATCGAAAATCAAATCTTTCTACTTTTTTTTACTACGCAACTATATACTCGGAGTTTCGTGATATCTTCGTTTTTAAGCTCAGGCATCCAATATATATATTCTTTATAAATAAATGCTCATTTATAATTAATGCATATTTTCTTATCCTCTTGATACCCTTCACTCTCATGTGCAAGAGTTTGACTTTGACATTGTAATTAAAAAACCTTTCAAAGACTAACATAATACCTGATGATTTTAAACATGAATAAATGTTACTGAAAGATTAATCTGCTGATTCACAGCAGTCATGTGAGAATCCATTCGGGCGCAGTATTTACTGTCTGCTAATTCCCCCGGATCTACGTAGTCGAATTTTGTATAACAAACAAATATTTACATGCACATCTTTAATAGAAACAAATAAAAAAAAAAAAATCAAAACCTTTTTTGTGTACTTGAATGAAAACCAGTTAGGATATCAAATTGAGTTGATGAATGTAAGCATCCCGTGAAGAAAATTTCATAATAATCCTTGCCATATCCATAATGATCATTAAAATATTGTAGATGTTATTTATTATTTTTTAACAACATTGAATAACGAAAATCGATACGTACAGACGAAATCGCATCTCGGAAAAAAAGTCGGTTAAAAAACATTGTTTATTTTTCAAGTCTTATCTAATCCACAACACTATAATTGATTGATTGATTTAACGTAGAGTATTGAAATTTCAATATCGAGAATTTTTAAGTAGTTTGACTTTAGATGTCAAGCATTATTAAGATTATTCAAAGATGATCAATAATCGTCGGTTGAATACAGAGCGAATATACTGTATATTTTTGTAGATGATTTAGAACATAAATTAAAATTTAACAATAAGAACATATAAAATTTCTTGCAAAAAAAAAAAAAAAAAAGCACTCAAAGATTCTGAAGGATCCTTCTCGTCCTTCAAGGGTTAAGCAGTCAAGTCATTATATGCATTATTAATATCTTCACCGAAGTGAATAAATGTTTAACTGTAATTATTTACGCAAACCAATTTAATCCCTTTACCTATACCTATCATACAGTATATCTTTCCAAGATTAAAATCCTTTTAAAAATTTGACTAACACCAATTTGTCTTCAAATAATGAACACAAAAGCTTCAAAGTAATCCTTATATCCTTTAAAATTTATAAAAAAAAAGTTTGGAAATAACTATACAGATATTAAAATAATATTTTTTGATAAAAATGGATGTCAAAAATAAAATTTATAGAGAAATTATGTCTTTTTGAACATTAAAAAAATGTTATAAGCTTAAGTTACCTACAAATAAAACCAATGAAATGAATATCTTTCTGTTTTAAAATTTGCACAAAACAATTTTAAGCAAATATCAATTGAATTAATGTCTTTTGAATTAAATTGTAAATAATATTCAAATTTTTTATTACAATGGTTTTAAAAGAATCAAGTGGAATTCTGGTTGCTGTTAATTTTTAAAGCACTAGAATATTATAATCAATTAAAAAAAAAATAGTATAAGTATTAACAAGTATTATTGTTATTTAATACTTATATATCAATAAATCAAATTCAACTAATCAAGAAGCTATAGTGTGTTGCAAAAACAATGTCAATTATATTTTTATTTGTAGCTTAGCAAAAATCATTAAAAAATTAATAATAAATTTAAATATAATTAAATCAACATCTATAAAACAATTTTATCTAAGATTGCTTTATTAATTATTTTATTATTTAATTAAATATTTTAATTACTAACAAAAATTTTATATTATACTTTTTACTTTTTTAATTAATTATTGTTTTTTAAAAAATAATATACTGTATATTTATATTTATATAATTTTTACTTTTTGAATAAAAGATTTTAAAAAGTAAAATAAAGAAATAAATTAATAATTTAAATAATTTTTATAAAAATTTATGAATGTTGATATAATAAATTTTTTTAATTAAAAATTTCATTAAATTTATATTTTTTAAAATATTAATTTTTTAATTTTTTAAATAAAAATCTTTTTTGCAAATAAGCATTAGATATATGATTTTTATTAAACTTAAATTTATAATTAGTACATTAACAATTTTATAAAAAAGTAAATTAATTGTAACCTATTGCAATATATTAGTAAGATTAATCATATACTGCTTGAGTAAATTAAATATAATTAGTATTGAATAACTAATACTTATTTAAAACAAAGATAATATAATAAATAAAAATATTTGCTTATTAATATTAAGGAAATTTATTTTTAAAATTTTAATAATCAAGTCAAAAACATTTTATTATATTTTGTCTATAAAGTAAAATTAATTGTTTCAATTTTTTGCTACTTTTTTCAGCTAAGAGTGAAGTATTAACAATTTCAAATTTTTGTTTTCAAATTTTATAAAGTATTTAAATATATTTTCAAAACTATTTGAAAAATATAATAATTTATAATTGTAATTATATTAATAGATTAAGATATATAAATTACTGAAATAATGTTATTAATTAAGCTTTGTTAAATCAGGTTAATATATTTTAATTCCTTTTCAAAAAGATATTTTTTGTTATAGACACAATATAAAATATAATTTAAATTTTTTTTTCTATATTATAACAAAACATATATTATTAAAATAAATAAAAATTATCTTTTATATAGTTTTATTCTTATTAAAAATTAATTTACTATAAGTTTTAATACAAAAATGAAAAATAATTTGTATTTGATTTAATTATTACTTTTAAATTTATTGTTGATTTTAATAATAGTTTTAAATTATTTAAATAATTTAGATTTGAACTGAAAGATTTAACTAAAAGTAATATTAAAAAGATTTATATATATTGATAAACTTGACCAAATAGTTATATTAATTATATTTATATAATTAATTAGAAGTAATAAAAAAAATAATAGAAATGATAATAGACCTGTAAGTTTATAATATAATGGTTAATACTTTACAAGTCAAATCACAAGATATCAGTTTAACTTTATATAAAGGCAGTTAAATAGAATTAATATAATATCTGATGCCATAATCTGTAAAAGTGTTGTTTCTTATAAAAAGCTGTTTTATATGCTAATCCAATAGGCATTGAGATTATGATTTTCAGAAAAAATATCATGGCATAACAATCATCCAATTGATATTATAATGAGCACCAGAAGTTGTAAAGTATATGAGGTGTTTACTTTTGATAAGTAATTTGGTAATTATTTTTCTAATATTTGATATCTTTTATATAAATTTTTGCTCTAGTCTCATTCCAATCTAATAATAAACCAATCTGATAATACTTGTTCCAAAAAGACATTTGGCAATAAGTTCCATTCCTTACAAAGTTATATAAATCAATATTTAGATGGTAAACACCAGTTATAAATACTTTAAATATTTTTGGATATCATTTAAATAGATAAAAAATTAAATAGTTAGCTCAGCTACAGGTAGTGATAAAGAGATTTATTTCTAATGAAACATATAGGAATTATATAATTTTATTTATCATAAGATATTATCTTTAGTGTCCCTTTTCAAATACTCTTCCTTAATCTCTCTCAATAAAAATAAAGCTTAATTAGTTACTAATTAAACAAAAAGATTTCTTTGTTCAGTAGATTAGTCTCTATATCTAATATAAATTAGAAACAAGCTACAGCAAACATCATTATTTGAAGTAATTTTGATAAAAGTTGGATATTACTAATACTGATACATTATAATATTGTCTTAAATAGCAATATCTTAGATAAATATAATCATTATAGGAATAACTTCCAGCTAGACAATTACACTGATGTATAATAATAAAAAAATAACAATAATAAAGATGATAATTTGTTTCAAGTAATTTTTTTTTTAACTGCTAAAGTGAGACCATATTCTAGTCCACATTTTTTATTTGATAGATAGATCATTATATACAAGGTATATACAAAGTTAATCTATTCTAAATGCCTATATATACTAGAATCCATCTACAGGCGTAAACCATCTGGGTGCAGCCTGCTACTAAGATTTTCTTTTTACATCTTCTAGCCTCAAATTTGTAAACCTTTTAGTAAAGTTATTTAACACTATACGAATTACCCATCAGAGTATTGTGTCTCTGTCTTTTTCCAGTTTTCTTCCTAGCACACTTCTGTGGCCTCAAAGGATTACTATTTGGAGAAACGGATGGAACCTATGTCCAGGGGTTGTTTCAATACCTTTAGACCGGGGTTGACAATCCAATCCTTTGTAGATAATGCCAGGCTTCAAGCATAAGCTGCTTATTTAAGAGAGCACAACTCTTCCAAAGTCAGGCTAGGTCTTAAGGGGAGTCTTCCATTCTGGCAATCGTTATCAACTAAGTACCTTCACTACAGGTAAGAATGGTGGGTATTGCTGGCGAGTCGTCACTCTTGCGAAAGAGGGATCATATTAGAAAGTCTTGTTGAAAAGTTTCCAGTTTGTGGCCCTCCATATTTCTTTTATAGTCTCGTGAACTATAGGAAGGGGGAGCAGCCTATTTATGGAACTGGGAATTGCACCAAACTTAACAATGATCATCATAACACCTACCAGATGATCATCACGCCACAACACCTTTTTCAGGAAATCACAATCTCAATGTCCACTGGATCAGCATATGAAACGGCTTTTTATGAGAAACAGCGCTTTAACAGGTTATGGCGCCAGATACCATATTAATTTTTATTCAACCATCCTTATATGGGTTGAACTGGTATCTTGTGATTTGACCTGTGGAGTGTTAACCACTACACTACAGACCTACAGGTTGTTTCAAGTAATAGTAAGATTTTTTAAA